GCGGTCACGGCAAGGTTACTACGTGCCAAGGTTAGCAGGCGCCATGCGTACGGATGTCATAAGATCAGAACAATGACAGGCGCATGGAGCTATATGTGATTACTGTTATTATAAAGTGTAATGGTTTGTTATGGCTGGAATAATGTACCTCCTGCTGTAAATTATAAGGATATCAGGATTTACCTAGGAGTCAAATGGCCGTGTAAAAGAACAAGGCCATAGGCCAAGTGCAGTTATAAGGTCATTGAACTTTACAAGTGTGTTTGTAATGCGCTTAAGGAATCGATAACTTGTTATTTCCTACAGTATGTGCAACGGTGTGCAGTTACTGTATCTCCAAACTGGTTTTGTATTTTGACGTTAGGCTATGTCTAAGGCTGATATTTTGGCTATCTGAACAAGAGACATCTGAATCCTTTTGCTCCCTTCTACCCTCCTTCCTTCTGAGGAGGGTGAAGTGTGGAACCACTGGGGCGATGTAAAAGTGAAGCTGATTGTGATGAATATGACGAACATGTCTATATGGAAATTCACCATATGAAGTTGGTCTGGTCCTCCTTCCTTTTCCATGTCCACCAGAGGAGAGATAATTACCGCCAATTGTAAAAATGAAATGCTTATAACTGTATGTATGGATATAAAATAGACTGACAATAGGCAGGTGGGAGCATCTCTTAAACTATTCTGTATGTTATCGTTTAAAAAATATTTAAAAAAATAATGTTTAATGTAATGTTATGGATTTAATGAAATATTGGAATTTTACATAATCAATGCCGTTGAAGTACCATTAAAGTCCGCTATGGTTCGTATGAACTGATCCTTTTTCTCTTAAAATGTATTATTTCTTTCAGTATCATACACACAGAGATGTCTATAGCAGCAACTCTAGGGGTAAAGCCACCCCAGTCGCTAATAGGCCCTGTGTTGATGGTCTTTTGTGTGCGTCTCTCCTATTGCAAGTCTATGGAAATGCAAATATATCTTGACGCATGTCAAATAAAGGTCAGAAGGATGTCAATTGCAGGTTATACACCTGTCAATGGAATCTGAATGTTTTCCTGTGTCTTAAAACAATCTCAAAAGCATGCTGCATTTGACTATTAACACAGCTGGACCCCATATGGACCCCGTAGCTGGGTCATCAACAAAGCTACCTAGAGAGGAGCCCAGTGCCTAATGGAGGTCCATTTACAACTTTCATGCTCCTGCAGTACACCAGGAGGATAATGCTGTTGCTGTTGGGCAAAGCTGTGCATCTGCCTGCCACATTCAAAAGGACGATGCCCTTGTTGGTGTTGAATAAGGCAAGCCATGCCTGTAGTAAAGCTAATGCAAATGAGGTGTTTTCTCTGTTGCTACCTTGAGTAGGGCCTTATTTGGCCTTAAAGGGACTCTGTCACTATAGGGTCACTTATAAACAATGCCCAGGTTGTAAAAGAACAGGCTCTATACTTATCTTTCAAGTAGTAGTGTGTCATCTTCCACACTTATGGGTGTATAGATGACCTGCTCCGCTGCTGCACACTGTGGTTCCTCCTATAGGCGCCTACATCACTACAAGCTGCACAAGCTGGTGAGAGGAACCACAGCATGTTGCAGGGGTAGCAGATTTTCAACTCACCTGGGTCGAAAACATGCTGCTGCTGGGCAGCAACAAACTATGGCATTTCAACACACAGGCTGTAAGTATAGAGCCTGTTCTTTTACAGACTGGGCAGTGAGTCTGTGGTGACAGGGTCACTTTAATCCTACTCTGCTCTATTCCAAGTTAAGCAACTATGCATCTTCTCTTGTTTCCTCTATCTATTGACATAAGCTTGTTAGCTTGGCAAAGCCACTCTTTCACGGTTACAAGGTTCTTGGAAAAGCTGCTATTAAGAGGGCTGTTGGGTCATTCTTGTACATCCAACCACTATATAATGCTTATTAACAGCCTAACCATTACAGAAGATGGCTGTACAAAAACAGATACAAACTGTAATGAATGGAAAGAGACTTAAGTCATTAACATTCTTGGATGGTGGTGGACGCACTTATAATGCCAGATATTGACAATATTCTATCAGAGTCCCCCTCACAGAGGTTTGGACTTAGCTGTGTTCTGACCCTAGGTCGCGTCCCTTAGGATCACCCCGCTCTAACATGTAGAGACTAACTCACACAATCCAGAAGGGAGACAAAGAAGGACCAGGACAGAAGCCAAGGAGGGGTCCAGGGGGCAAGCAGAAATATAGCAAAGAGTCAGTCCAGGTTGCAGGTAGAGACCTAGTTGGTATGCAGGCAAACGGTCAGTCCAAGTAGCAAGTAAAGGTGCGGTTGAGAAAACAGGCAAGGGTCGGTACATGAAAAGTCAGTTCAAGGCAATACAAGTGCAGAGCGAAGAAGTTCAGAAGCAAACTGAATGTTGCTTGGGTGCCAGTTTCAGGACATCATCGACCGCAACACCACCAATGGCTACTGAAAGCAGCATTGGCTGAGGGAGAGGGAAAGCCTTGCAGTGCGGGAGCGAGGAAGGTAAGTGACACCAGGCATAGTTTGAGTGAATTCTAGGTACAGTTAGGTGCAGTAAGCAGTACAGAAAATCCCACTAGATAACTTCACCCACCCAAATACCAAATAACAAATAAGGTATGTATACAGACTGTAAAGGGTGTGGGAATGCTCCTATGGGGGGAGGGGGTCATCCTGTGCCCAGAGGTGGCCTATGAAGTCCAACTAAGGTGAAAATACTGCTGCACGATTTTACTGCAGAATGAACATCACTGTTACTCTGTTTCAGGAAGTGGAAAAATATTGGTGGCAAAATCAGTGGCATATCCAGGATATGGCACATATGGCACATGCCTGGAGCACCACTTCAAGGAGGGGGCACAGCTCCGTGGAACAGCAAGAGTCTCCCATAGACATCTCCCCAGCGGAGAGACGTGTATGCAGGCTGAACACTCTGACCAGCGTCCTGCCTAGCTCCTGGCAACCAGTGACATAATTGGTTGGCCAGGAGCTGGGCAGGAGACCAGGGGCCCAATTTTTTGTAGAAACACCTACTGACAGACTGCATCATCAATATTTTCTATTTTGGCCATAGTTCCACTTTAAATAATGCAGCTTGTATATAACAGTTAGACACACTGGTCTTCTTAAAAAGTAATTATTATTTCATTTCCGAATACACGTGTTTACATTACGAGGCCATTCTAGATGGAAACAGTGTTTAATAGAGCTCAAATAAGGAATAAATGACAACAGACATGTCTTCCTAAAATTATGCCATGCCACAATTCCATCCCTCTTATGTATTTATATATTCATCCATCACTGTAACAGAAGTAGATCTCGGAGAGATGTCACTTCCAGTATACTGCATGTTACATGCATGGCTGCGTGCATTGTTTACCAAGAGATAACTGTAAATTGAAATAAACATGTCATACTCTTCAGGCTTTTACAAGGCAATTAGTGAGATGTTTTAGAAGATTGAATTATCTTGCATCACTACACATGCACCATACACTGCAGGGCTGGACAAATCCCAGGCGACAATTAAAAATGGTACCTAAAATTACTAGATCAGGCTGTTAAAGGGCCAGAAAACCTACAGTACATTACAAATATATTTATTTGAAGCGGATCAAGTGAGGATGATGT